GTTAAGGAGGACTGAAGTTAAGGTGAACTGATGTTAAGGTGGACTGACGTTAAGGAGGACTGAAGTTAAGGAGGATGGAAGTTAAGGTGGACTGAAGTTAAGGTGGACTGACAGTGTGTTTTTTGCTGATGTTGGTTCCAGATGTGAACGAGTGTTTTCCCAGCAGCCCCTGCCAACATCACTGCTACAACCTGCCAGGATCCTTCCTGTGTCGCTGTGATCTGGGTTATGAGCTGAGTCCAGACCAGCTGAGCTGCTACGGTCTGAACCGCACTCACAGATTTACACATTTTTGTTGCATGAGCTGAGATTGCAAATGTTCACAACAGATGAACAAAGAGCTGACTGATAATTGACAACAGAGACTGGATGGTGCTGTAACTGATAGAGATGAAGATGTTACTTTAGCTAAGAAGTGCTTCTGTTTGCTGCTGTTTGCTGGTGTTGACTGATGATTGATCAGATGTAGACGAGTGCCTGATGTCCTCCTACATGTGTCAGTGGCAGTGTGTCAACCAGCTGGGCTCCTATGGCTGCATCTGTCCTGAGGGATACCAGCTCCAGGGAACACGCATGTGCAACGGTACATGCCTGCAGCCCAACATGCATCACATACAACACACATCACTTTGTAACAGATGGTTTATAAGCCAATGTTGTTAAACACTGCTGAGCGCCACTGTGTTGGAGTTCTCCCTGGGAAACCAAAGGGTCACCTCTCTGAGACTGACTGTTGTCTGATCTGATGCACCAAACAGCAGCTCAGAGTTCTTGGCCTTCTTGGAGTCTTTGGCTGGTTCCTGGAAAGGTTCCATCTGGGGACTCCATAGTCCCCCTGGAAAACTTTAACACTCATGTTGGGGTGACTGGGAGGAACAGCCTACCCGATCTGAACCAGAATGGTGTTCTGCTACCGGGCTTCTGTGTTAGTCTTTGATTGGCCATAGCAAACATCATGTTTGAGCATAAGGTGGCTCATAAGTGTAGTTTGTACCACAGCACCTTAGGCCAAAGTCGATGTTCAACTTTATGATTGTATTATTAGATTTGCAGCTGTATGTTCAAGCCTCTATTACTGAGGTAACTGTACGAGCTGTGGTTGGTAAGCCATCTATGCCAGTCTCTGTCGGGCCAGAAGGACTGCAACTATGGTAGTCATGGAACCAAAAACTGGTATGTGGGATGAGTTTGGGAATGGCTATAGAAAACGACTTTCGGTCAGCCTTAGGGGAGTTCTGGTAAACATTCGACATCTCAGGAAGGGACGACAGGGCTTGGCCCAGGCTCTGTCCAGCCAGGGAAAGAATTGCTGATTTGGACCAGAAATATTGTCAGATGGTGGAAGGACCACTTTTAGGACCTCCTAATTCTGACTAACACTGGGGTTAGTCAGAATTAATTCTGGGGTAGAGTCTTAGAACTCGGGGAAAGCATTGCCTATATCTGTGGCAAAGGTCAGTAAGTTAGTCGAAAAAGTCCTCGGTGGTAAGACACCAGGTGTGGCCAAGGTTGGGGCATTGGGTACGGTGTCTGTGGAGTGGCAAATTGGGGTGATGGTCCAGAGGGCATGCTCTAGTGGCTCATGTGGTACAGCGGATCGGTCAATGATCGGAAGGTCGGCGGTTCGATTCCGCCCTGTAACCTGTGTCATGGTCGTTGTGTCCTTGGGCAAGACTCTTCACCACCTGCCTGGTGTGGATGCGTATGGATGGATTGTTGAGGTGGTGGTCGGAGGGCAGAATGGCAGTCTGCCCCAGGGCAGCTGTGGCTACAACCGTAGCTACCACCACCGGGATGAATGTGTGTGAAGGAATAATTGACAGTGTGAAGCGTCTTTGAGTGTCTAGAAAACCGCTGTATACATATGATCAATTATTATTATTATTATTATTATCAGGGTATCACTCTGCTCGGCCTCTTGGTAAAGTTTACTCCACGTTGCTGGAAAGGTGGCTTCGACAGGCTGGTGAACCTCAGATTCAGGAGGAACAATGCAGATTTCCTCCTAACTGTGGAACAGTGAACCAACTCATTACCCTGCAGAGCTGCTGTCATTGAAGTTCCACCAGCCACATGTGTTTTTTTGACTTGGGAAAGGACCGTGTTCCCCTGAGGGACCTAGTGGAAGGTACTGTGGCAGTATGAGGTACCAGGGCTATGAGTCTGTCTGTACAGCCAAGTTGAGAGGTGTTTTTGTGTCCTTGGCACAACGTCCAGCATGTTCCTGCTGGGTGTTGGATTCTGCCAGGGCTGCTCCTTGTCTCTGATCGTGTTTGTGGTCTTCATGGACAGGATCTCAAGGCGCAGCCAGGGTGTCCAGTTTGCCGACCTCAGGATCTTGTCTCTGCTTTTTGCAGATGACATGGTTCTGTTGGCATCATTAGACCTTCAGCAGCTCTGGGGCGGTTTGCAATCAAATGTTAAGCAGCTGGGATGCGAGTCAGCACCTCCCAGTATGAGGCCAAGTTTCTCTGCTGTAATTGTGCCTTCTGGATTTTGGGGGACTGCTGCTTCAAGTGAAGGAGTTTAAGTATCTCAAGTTGTTGTTCCCAAGTGAGTGGAAAATAGAGCATGACATGGACAGATGAATAGGTGCAGAGTGACCAGTAATGCAGATGTTGTACCTGATCGTTGTGGTGAAGAGAAAGCTTAGAGATAGGGTGGAGCGTTCAGACACTGGGAGGGAGTTCGGAGCAGAGTTGAATCTGATTAGGATGCCCTCTGGGCAACTTATTTTAGAGGTTTTCTGGGCTTGTGTAGCTGGGAGGAGATCCTGAGGTAGAACCAGAACTCACTGCAGGGATAACATATCTCATATGACCTGGAAATGGGCTGTGATGCCCAAGAAGACCTGGAAAGAGTTTCTGGGAGAGAACCATCTGGAATGGCCTGCAAAGCCTGCTGCCACCGAGACCCGACCCCAGATAAGAATAACATGTACATAACATGTACCCCGGATGTACAAAATGGACACATGGGATGTAAAACACTTTATTTATTTAAATCATCATTTAAAAGATTAAATTATCAAGAAAACAGTGAAGCCAGTCAAAGGTCATCTGTAAAGTCCACTGCATGGCATTAAGTCTCACATACATGAGTAAGTGTATTAACTCAGTAAAGCTGAGCTGGATGTCATTTCACGGATCTACTCACAGACATTAACGAGTGTGAAATTGGACCGAGCTGCCGTGATGACCAAATGTGTTGGAACTACTTTGGGGGTTATCGCTGTTATCCCAGAAACCCCTGCCAGGAGCCCTACATCCAAACCGGAGAGGGGTGAGGGTCACCTTTACACCTGCACACACCTGCACACCTGTGGAGGAAGGTTTGGCAGTTTCAGCAATGCCATTGCAGCCACTTATTAACATTATAGCAACCACTTAGCAACGCCATAACAACCACCCTGGCAACCACCTGTTACTTACCTTGCCACCCCTGTAACCATGTGGTAACCACCAAGGCTGCCATAGCAACACTGACCCTAGCAACCACTGTCTAATGTGAAAGATCAACCACGTTAGGATAAATTGCAAAGAAAACACTGTAACACACAAACAAAACACACACACACACACACACACACACTACCTCCATTGTGTTGTATTGTTTTGTTTGCCGTGTTCAAATTGTGCGTTTGCACTACCTGTTTTTTATATTGCACCACTGTTTCCATATTTCTATTTCTATTTTAATTTTATTCTATTTTTTGTCTTATTTGATTTTATCTTGTCTTGTTGCGCTGCATTCTTCGCACGAACACTTTAGCTCTGGATCTGGGAAACGCTGTCTCATGTATCGTGCAGCTGTGTGTGGTTGAAATGACAATAAAGCCTTTTGAATTGAATTGAATTGAACTGGAACATGCATAGCAACCACCTAGTAACACCATCGTAACCATGAGGAACACCACTGCAACCACTCACCACTATAGCAACCAGTGGTAGAAATGACCAACCACTGTTACCAGCCAACAGTCAGAATCAGCACCGTAGCAACCACAGAGCAATTTTTAAAAGATTTTCATGACATGTTGTTACTAACTCCAAAAACCTAGCAACTATTGCCAAAAACATAACAATCAGGATCACAATAGCGACTAAACAGGAAAAGTATAATGCAACTGGAAGGCATCTGGACAGGTACGTCAGAGAACCAACTGTCATCACCATAGTAACAACAGCGGATGTCTTTTCTTCTTCTGTGCTGTCAGCCGCTGCAGCTGTCAGTCTCTGAGCGCGTGCAGAGGGCTGCCTCCATCCATCGTCTACAAGTACATGAGCATCACGTCGGAGCGCTCGGTGCCGGCCGACATCTTCCAGATCCAGGCCACCAGCGTGTTGCCCAACATGATCAACACCTTCAGGATCAAAGCCGGCAATGAAGACGGACAGTTCTTCCTCAGGGTGAGCCACCGGCCCCACCAATAAACTTGACTGGTTTCTGTCTTTCATCTGATGTCACCGGGAACCAAAACACTTCCAGTCTGATCTCACATCAACTCATCACCTCTGCTACAGATTTAAGTGATTCGTTGCTGATTGATGGTTACCTGACATCTGATTAATTACTGATTGACAGTTGATTGACAGCTGATTGATTACTGATTGGAGGTTGTCGTTGCAGAGGTCCAGTAACGTGAGCGCCATGCTAGTGATGACGCGGCCTCTGACTGGTCCCAGAGAGCACGTCCTGGACCTGGAGATGGTGACGCAGAACTCAGCTCTGAGTTTTCGGTCCAGTTCGGTTCTCCGCCTCACCATCATCGTGGGACCGTACGTCTTCTAGGAACACCCGCAGAACCTGAACATGTTTGTTTGGGTCACAGAGCAGCTGTTTAACCTTCAGACCTGCAGAGTTTTACAGAATGAACCATCTGACATGTTGACTGACTTCCACCCATCATTTCAACTGTTTCATGTCTGGACTCAAGATTCTGTTTAATTTCTGATCTGCTTATAAATCCAGGGGAGGTGAAGCAGCTTCTAGAAAGATCAATAAATATCTTTGTTCTCTACTTTTTAACTCAGCTTTTAAAGGCATCTTTCAAAAATCTTTTAAAAATCACCATATGCCACAGTTGGTCAGCTATTGAACATAAACATAACAATATTTAATCAAAACCACTTTATACTACATGTCTATTTGAAGCATGGTGGAACATCTTTCTACATCTGATGGTGGAACATCTTTCTACA